CTCAGAAAACTCCATACAAACCCTTCTAATTTTTTTTTGGGTCGACCCAAAAAATATTTAGAAGGGTTTGTATGGAGTTTTCTAAGCATAACTGCGCTACGATCTCAGGGACAATTTGNGGATATCACAAACTTCCTCCAAATTTAGTCCTCGCTAGCTGTTTATGAAGAATTGGCGGAGGGATTGAGCCAATCAGAAACAGACTGAAATATTTTGTGATGATAAAGACTTATTTATAACACCCGACTATTTGCATGAGCATAAGAATTAAGTTATGGGGTAAAAGAAATATCTTGATAGAAATGAATTTCAATCGTGGTGAATACAAGAGAAAGAATGTCATTTAGTCAGTGACACGTACGGGCGGCTCGGGAGAAAAGAGAAAGTAGTCTGGTGGTAGAGGATCTTGATTAGTAAACAGAAGGCCTTAGGTTCGACTCCTCTTGGGTTTCTTCGGGTCGTCCTGCACCTATCCAAAGCGGCTCTCTGATTGGCCAGCTCGCGAGAACAATAAGATTTTTTATGGAGAAATTATCATGTATGCATTAGTTAGTATTTCCCATCACTTACGATGAGACTCTATTTCAAAGTTTTGTACAGCCAAGGATATTTTGGACCCTCTTCCTCAGTTTATAATGCGTTGTGCGTATCATTCTTCATTTTCATCAAAACAGGTGTTGGGTGCCTTGATGTATGAAGTAAGTATTGAGAAAATCTTGTCCTCGTAGTAGGCTGTACCACTGTTCCGAGTGTACCGAGCTTACTGACTGTACCGACTCATTAATAACGTTCCTTTTCATGGAATAATGGCCACAGATGATCAGAAGAGGCCAGGAAAGGGAGCCTTCAAATTTCGCTTCTGGATTGAAGGAGCCTACTCGCAGGTTATGCTTTTCTGTGTTCAATTCTTCAACGGGTAAAACGTTCTGTACCGATCATTTTAATTTTTAAAGTATGCGAAAGTTAATTCTCAGTCAAAAGATTTGTCCATCGAAAGTACTGTTCATATTCGTTTGCCTGCTTCGCTTTCGGCTGAACATATCCCTACCCCCTCACCCCCTAAGATAAAACTTCTTGTTCAGTCACTAACGGCGTACTGTTGTGCGAAGTTTTCTCGACGAGAATTATATTGATATACCAATACCAGAAATGAAAGTCAATAAGATGAACTGAAAAACACATTGATAAGTTTTTCCATGTAAATCGTTTGCCGCAATCCCTCAGAATTGAAAATCAAAATTAAATTTACTGTCGTGGTACCTGTGCCGTATTAACGTTTGTCTCTCATCGATTTTTTTAAACTTTTACGGGGTAACTAAAACGGCCAGAAGAAAGACTAGTTTGACAGCTTTTCAGCAGTAATCTAGTGTTTTAGAAAAGCAAGTGAAGTGCTAAAATTTGCCAAACGTACATTGCTAGATGCTATCGCGTTTACCAGCACGAGAGAAAAGAAAATGCATCATTTTGGTTAATATTCAACGGCGGCGGGAAGCCAAAATGGCGATTTTCAAACTTTTCTCGATTTTGAAAAAACTCGAGGGCTTAAGGACCTTTTAATTGTATTTTCGAACATGAAGAAATTGAAAATTTCGAAACTGGCGCCAGATGTTTGATATTTACAGAAACTGGCTCTTTTAAGAGCCAGTTTCTTCATAATCAGCCAAACTAAACAACGACGCACTGACGACGAAACGTTTTTATGGTTCAGATAGAATATTTTGGTGAAACAGCTCAACCACGCGACCCCATACCTGAGTTCTGCCTGCCCACCGTGCGGAAATCACACAATCATACAGCACATAAACACCTCTTGACTTTTCTCTTACACTCGTATTATTCAAGTTCCCGAATGTAGAGTCACACGGTGGGCGGAACCAGCATACACCCTGTTTTCACACCAGAAAAAACGAAGTCTTGGCCCGTGTCAAAGTTCACCTGCAATTTTGTTCTCACCTAATTCATTTGACTCCTAAAAGCCTGTTCCCAAGGCCAAAGACTAAGTGGTCACCTTTGAAAAGCGAACAATATCGTACCTTTCTGTCTCAGCCTGGATCAGGGTGATTGATCCGTTTAGCCAAATGAAACGAGAATACAATACGGTATTGGACGATGCAGACTCTGCGAATCGTATTAACTTTGTCCTATCTCAGAGCTTTACATGATGCTCTCCGGGAAACTTTTCTCAAGGTGACCAATAACGATATGTAAACTGCTAAACGGCTTCGAACCAGCTATAGGCGCCCACTGCGGATTTCAAGTAACTGTTGTTTATTGTGTTAGAGAGAATTGTGGGTAGGGGCGGAAAAAATTAACCAAAGAGGGATAAGGGGGGGAGGTTAGATAGAAATTGGCGAAATTCTGTCTCCAGCCCACTTCTACACAAATCCCTGACCACAAACAACCAAAAAAACAAACAAACAAACAAACAAACAACAAGTTAACAAGCTAAGACAGGAAGTTGAGAGAAATTACAAAATGTTTGCTAACCCGGTTTTCATAAATCCAGGTACAGGTATTTTCCTGTTTTCATCTCGTGTTTTACTTGTACTTGAATTTTTGCTTAGTTGGCGAATTTAATTACTTGACCCTTTAACTCCCAAACCGGCCGCAACCGGCCGCTAAGAAATATGACATTATTCCCAAGCCGGCCGGAACCGGCAGTTGAAACTACCTTTGTTTTGAAGGCCTTTCACCTTCGCCGGAAACACAAAACAATAGGGTCTCTATTGCTTTAGACATATTGGCCAATCATAGCGGAGCTCCATATTGGACATTTAGACATTAGACTTTAGACATATTGGCCAATCATAGCGGAGCCCCATAGCTAAGGAAATGTGGTAATTTACCCATCCCAGAAAATTTGGTAATCACGTGACCGTACACCGAGCGAGCGATCGAGTGAGCGACCGTCCGTCCGTCCGCACCACAGGCATACCAATGTAAAATAACTCAATCAACAGGTATGGGAACCCAAATGCAACTCAAGGTTTTATTTGGAAGGAAATCACATGGCCGCTTTTTCGGCGTTATTTTTTATGTGTACACTAACGTGGATAACAGAGAAAGAGCTAGAGCGAGTTACTGAAAATTCGCGGGAAGAAAAACATAGAAATTCAAAGCGGCGGTGAGAAAATGAGGAATGCTAGCGGCCAGCAAGGTGAAAATGAGCGGCAGTGAAAAATAACACTGGAAAGAAAATATTGGGTAAGCACATACGACAATTTCTCCATAAAAATAGTGTGTAACTAGGAAGTTTGACGTTTTAGTCGTACAAAACAGTGTTGTAGTCGTGCAAAACAACGGCAAGGGAAAGACAAAAAAGCGTGCTGCACGTGCAAATTTGTTTTTTGCTAATTAGAAGAAAAAGTGTGCTGCACGTGCAATTTGTTTTTTTGCTAATTAGATCTATTAGTCTTGAAGCCATTTTCATTGTCGTCCCCCGTTTAGCGTTACACGATTTAATTTTTTTTGTTTACACGTATTATTAACCAGAGCTTCGCTTTTAGCCCTGGCTAAATCTATATATTATTTCAGCTACTACTCATAGTAAACTCGTAGCCTGAGGGAGCACGATCGATATGGCGGTACGTGACTGAATTAGCGATAAACACTACTGTGAAATGTTTGGAAATCGCAATGAAGAATTAAATTGAAAGAATTCATATTCTTTTAGCTTAAGCTGTGGACACCATAGCCCCCTGTGTAAATGCCCGAAATATATGTCGCGCCGTGCATGCACTACACTCTTTTTTTTTTTTTTTTTCATAAGAATATATTTTATAAGAATAATTCGAGGCTGAAATTTGCGAAATTTTAAGAATATTTTAAGAATAAAGCCGAGGCTGAGATTTTGAAAAAGATAGATATAATTTTGTGTGTTAAAACATCTGTAAATACAATACAATTTTATGTTTTCAACTTAACCGTATAAAATTATTCCTTTCTCTGAACGGCGAAACTAGCCAACAAAACGAAAAAACCTGCACTACTAGCTATAGCAAAATGTCCAACGCTAATGATAGTTCGATGAACGGTACATGTAATACATAGGTACAGTATTCAGCACAAAAGACATAAACTAAACCGCAAAAAAGTGTTATGACAAATTCTTTCCTTTTTAAATAACAAAACCTAGCGAAAACAAAAACAGCACTAGGCTTTATTGCCTGCAGTTTGGCTCCAAAATTACTTCGACGCTATCAAAGTCATTGTAAGAGAGGTAATCTAGATACCAAACACTTGTAATTGATACCCCAATAAATTCTAAAACGGAAATGTCATAAGCTATAATTTAAGAATATACAAGAATATTTTCAGTCTAAAATCGGCAGAAAAATAAGAATATTCAGCCTGGGCCGGAAAAAACAACATTCTTATAAAAAAAAACCATTGTGTACCACGAGGTTTGTAGATCCTTTACGCAGACCCGTAGGTTGAGGTGTCTTGCGTATATGTAAAACTATTTCGGTTGATTTTTAGGTATATATACAGGCATCCAAAACCTACTCAATAATGTCAAGTGTGCATCAGACAAACGTGTAAAACATTCGAAAAAAATCAACCACCGGCTTAGCATGGCGTCGTGTGCAACGAAGAACAATAAAGAGAAATCTTTGCAGGGTTCTTAATAGATTTTTTAACAACAGGCGGTTGAGGGCGAGGGCCAGAGACTCGCCAGGACATTGCTCAAACCGTACAGTTGAGTAGAGCTTTCAGCAACTTTACGTTGAGAGATGAATCCTTCCAGCAGTTAACACTTTAAACTGTGACCATCGGCCTTTTCTCGATTCTTTTACGCTCAGGATAGGCTATTTTGATTGAAGATTTTGGTAAACCAGAAGCCACAAAAGCGACAATCTTGAATGTACACTCGCTTAAAACAGCAAAAGACTCGCCATGACATTGCTCAAACCGTACAAATGAGAAGAGCTTTCAGAAAGTTTACGTTGAGTGACAAAGCCTTCCACTGAGCAGTTAGCACTTGGACAGCTGACTTTAAACTATGACATCGGCTTTTTCTCCATTCTATTCCGCTCAGGATAGACCATTTTGGTTGACGATTTCGGTAAATCAGAAGCCGCCAATTTAAAGCCAAAATCTTGAATGATAAAGGAACTGAAACAGCGAAAGACTCGCCATGTTATTCCTCACAGCTACATGATATTTATGAATGAATGAATGAATGAAGAGTCGTGGATGAGAGGACAACAGACGTGCCCTCCTACAAAACATTTTTAAAGCTTTTTTAACATGTGAACAGTAAGCTCGGACGTCAGCATACAAAGGCGCCACTGGCAGCCTCTCTCAGTCCATTTATGATCTCACTGTACCCACCCACCCCATGATGTGAATGATGTGATGTGTGAAGGTTGGCCATACCACCGGGGTCTACGTCCCCTACTCTTTGCGAACAGTGGTGTGGGTTCTTTTACGTCCCACAAGAACCAGATAAGTGTAAGTGCTGTTTGACGGGACCTACGGTTTTTTCGCCCTTATCCGAGAAGACTAGAAAGTCTAACCGTTTGCAGATGTCATTACAAAGGCAGCACTTTCTTGTCAGTTATTTAAAGACCCTGAGTGTTGGTCAGGCCGGAGTTCGAACCCGTGACCTTCTGCTCAGCAGACCGGCGCTCTCCCAACTGAACCAACCGGGCAGCGGTGCGAAATAATACCAAGTCTCTTTTGTTTGGTCATTACATTTGCTTGAAAAACAGGGCGTGTGGCCGTATATCTTCTCAACATCCTCGGAATTCAAGAAACAAAATTCCGTTAGCCTGGGGGTGAAAATAATGAAGGAACTAAATAGCATCGGGCGTCCATCTTTCTGCTTCACGCCAAAGCAGAGCAGCAACTTTGTAACCTGATGGGATGTCATAAATCGGTGGATTATAGTTATACGAAATTCTGTGGAGTACTGCCCCCTGGATTTGACGTGTTTTTTTTTTTCCTTGATTTGATTTTAAAAAGCTCCGCACCTCTTCTTTTCTTTAACGAAATAAGAAANCCAACCGGGCAGCGGTGCGAAATAATACCAAGTCTCTTTTGTTTGGTCATTACATTTGCTTGAAAAACAGGGCGTGTGGCCGTATATCTTCTCAACATCCTCGGAATTCAAGAAACAAAATTCCGTTAGCCTGGGGGTGAAAATAATGAAGGAACTAAATAGCATCGGGCGTCCATCTTTCTGCTTCACGCCAAAGCAGAGCAGCAACTTTGTAACCTGATGGGATGTCATAAATCGGTGGATTATAGTTATACGAAATTCTGTGGAGTACTGCCCCCTGGATTTGACGTGTTTTTTTTTTCCTTGATTTGATTTTAAAAAGCTCCGCACCTCTTCTTTTCTTTAACGAAATAAGAAATAGAAGTAAAAAATGTTAAGGAGGATGCATTTCTCGAACCGTTTGCAAGTCAAATTTTCTTACACACAAAACTGACTGGGCAATTGCTGAAAACGGCAAATTGGGTCATTTCGATATAACCTTGGAATACCCCTGGAATGCTTGGAATATGGCATAATTTAGACATACTTACAACTCCCGCTAAATAAAACTTTCCATTTTTTTGGCATGCCAATGGCCCCCCACTATCCCCTTTGCAGAAACTTGTATTACCTTGCCCATAACCCGCGCAAAAAGCTGCATCCGAGCGAGACACAGCTTTCATATAATTATCATAAATCCTTAAACACGTCGAGTTATCCACTATAGGAAGAACTGTTTTCAACAACGTGTCTGCAAAAGGACCTTTCTTTCTTATTCTCCCAAAGCCAGTCACAGTGCACACTTTGCCTACTTCAAAGTTGATACCTTTCTGTGGGAGGCAAATCGGTTTCATGTATTCGTTGAACGTCACTTCCTCTGCCAGTTTCACCAGTGCTATGTCATAAAGTTTTCCCTTGCGAGAAAATAACCGATGGTTGATTATCTAGAACAAAATTATAGATAATGAAATTAACTAGAATCCTGAAAAACTACGTGCTATATTAGCCTATGGGAATTGACCCGCACATGGAATAATAATGCGAGTATACTGGGCACCCATGTATTATAAATACGAATTAGGCCTACAAAACATCCTTTTTATTCATGTGGCCTGCAGCTATGCAAATCGCGTTTGGAAAAAATGTTTTTACATAAAAAAGATTAATTGTTCATGCAGTCCCGGTGGGGATATTCCAGTCAATTTTTAGGATGGACATATGCATGCGGCAAAGATTTAATAACCTTTGTGAATAAATTTAGAGATAAAAATAACCCTAAACAAACACATGGTTGTTGTTGCTTTTGCTGTTGCTGTAGTTACTTATGCTGTTTTCTATACAAGGGAGGGACTTTCAAAAAGCGTAGAATTGTACAGTTAACCATAGGTAAATACATAAACATTACAAGTAGTTGCTTACGCTTGTGAATTTAGAAAACCTATGAAAACCAGCATAATACTTAAAGGAGATACCTAGCTGGCAATTTTCCAGAGCTACCCTACCCACCAGTTCAGTCAGTGTTTCTTATCAGTCTGTCATTTAGTTTGTTATCCAACGCATTGCATTTATTTTGGAATGTTTTCATAACTCGTCTGCCGTGCCATAAATTCTGCCCTCCTTGTGGGCGAATCGTCCTTGGTTGTTTTGCGACAGGTGCTACGATTCAATGGAGCCCAAACCAATGGTGGAAATGAAAACGTGTTAGTTTTCCTACTGGTGAACAGCTGCGACTAATGGATATCTCCGACAATGATCTTGCCGTCTGTTCCCTTTGAAATGGTAATGGAGAGCAACGCATTTTATTTTTATGTTTTTCAATTATAAATACAAAAACACGAAGTCAATATATATTTTTTTTACTTTCAATTTTTTCACTTGTCGCATTATTCTCCAAAACCGTCCCCAGGGATTTTCTGTGAAAAAAATGGGAGGGAAGGGAAAAGGGCCTGGGGTCGAGGTTGATTCTTTCTTTAATTATATCCGAATAGTCCTGACATTTTCCACAGTGATCACTACCTCGTTTCTGTCCTTATTACCGACGTCAAATTCGCCAAAAATAGCCTCTAATTTAGTGTGTTTTGGCCCATGAGGATATCGTGAGCCGTGAAAACAATGAGCTGCCGTCACAATCCACTTTTTGCCGATCAAAGATCCTCCGCATACAGCGAATCTTGGTTTGCCTCCTGTCACCCATCTGAAGTACACTTGCCAGGGAAACTACCCTGGACTGGCTTCATTACCACCTACAATACGCGACTTCTTTCCAATACCGCAGCTGATGCTTCCATGTCCACCATGTGGCTCTCCTCCTCCCCATGACCAAATAGTTGGCTTTTCTTCTTCATTTTCTTCTGATTCTCCTCCAGCTACAGGACGTCCTCCTAGGTTGATGGTAAGATTTACAAACATTTTCAACCACAGTTACTGTTGAACAGTATACAGGTCGTTCGTTGAGCTCAATTCAATATCAGATCTATCTAGATGAACGATACCTCTCTCAGGAGGGGTGCTCTATACAAACTCGGTCGGACCACAGCTCCTCGTGGACTATAGCATTGCAAAAGGATCTTGAGGGAAACCCATGAAAAAACAAACACTAATTCTTAAATAAAGGCCCTTAGGGTGAAAGAACGAATGATTATCGCTTAAATTGCGACACCTTCCATTTCTGGCAAAAGAAGGGAGGTCAGAATCAGAGATCAAAGCAAAATTACTTACTTGCATTCTCACCGGTATGCGTTCTGGTAGATTTTTGCAACGAGGGCTCCATTCATTTTACAAACTTGTACCCAGTCTAACAAAATTGGTATTGTGGTGCAGGTTTCGTCCTACGTCATGTATATGCGTTATTGACCCAGCTTCAGATCAAGATAGCTGGATATTGGCCAAGTTCTTTTTGTGTAAATGTCTGTCGCGGTTGCTTAAAAAATCCGCGGTTAATTTTTTCGAAGCCCTATATCTACGAACCTAAGAGTCACAATTTTTCTTCGACCTCTTCTTCTTTTTGAGATAAGCCAAACGATAACACAAAACAAGCTAACAAACAACAAAAACAAACAGTTAAATAGTACTTTAAAACCCTTTATCAATGGAAATTCGACTTTGAAAATTAAAAATTTTAAAAAAGGGAATGCATGTATGCCCTCCATTGTCAGCAGCGAATATTTATTTAGTCATTTAAGCTAGCGAAGGGCAATCTTCTCTTACCATGCAATAAAAAAGGTTAATCATTGTTTTAGTAGTATGAGAGATTTCTTACCCAAATGATGTGACAAAGATTTAATTACGATGAGAACAGAAAACAGCAGGGTCTTCATTTCCTAATCAGCAGTCTTGCTTGAACCTCTTTTTCTTTGTCTGTTGTGTACCAAGAGAAGCAGTGATCTCAACTACAATAAAAGTTGAGGTGCTTTTTAAGCCTCTTTTTACTGAGTTTTAATGATTTAATAATGATGTGGCTCAATTCAGTCACCGGTTACAAAAATAGTAATTAGCATCTTGTAGATGTAAATTAACGACAGTTTGCGAAGCATGAGTATAGCTATTGTAATCTCTATTGCAAACTAAGCTTACCCCACCCTCCAAAGTATAATAACAATAATAAATAAAATTTTAAAAATTAAATAATAAAAAACTCAGGGCTTCAACTGGATTCTGCCATGGCCTTTGCGGGAACGCTGCAGTGCTCTACCAACTTAGGAAAAGCCACTTTCAATGGTTACTCAATGGACAATTTGTTGAGTTCATTCAGTCTTAACCCGTGAAAGGAATGAAACATAGCAGTGATGACGTAAACTGACGAAATACAAATCTAAATGAAGATATATGAACATGGCAGTTGCAATCGACAAATTGGCACAGAGTCCAGTCGCTGAATTTAAAAAGTTTCAAAGGCAGTACGGGTTTGAGCAACACACCTCATCATCAAGATTACCGAAAAGATATGGTCTAGGGTCAATTTAATAGAACGTTTACAAGTGTGGGTATTGCTCTCGGGCCCTAAAACAATAGCTCGTAAATTTCACTCGTAAAAATTTTATTAAATTGATCTCTGCTTCATATTACACAACTACGAGGGCTGATCAAGAAGTTCTGCCTCTTGACCCAAATGTCCGATAAGTCACAATTTCAAAAATTCAGTTTCAAAATCAGTTTTTTATTCACACTGAATATAATGTTGACATTTATCTGACAGTAACATAGGAATAAAATAAATATTGAGAGAAGAAAAGATAGAAGTAAATGTCATTGAGAGAAGTGTACTGGTCAGAGGAGCATGGCTTTTGAGCAAACCACAGCAAATAACAGTTTCATTCCATCAAAGTTAAGCCTTCCTCCCCATTCCAGGGGTGGACTTCATGCCTAAATGGACAGATTGTACAGGGTCTAAATCCTTTCAGAAAAAGGCTTCCCAGCAATAGCGAATTTGATTTTGGTGAAAAATAAGGGACCGCAAGGAGCCAAGCCTGGTCAGACGAGTATGGTGGATTCCATCATACGTATACTATGACGATCAAGATACGTTTGTGTGATGCCAACTTTGCGACGAGTTGCATTTTCGTACCACTTGAATTGAGACTGACTTCGAGTACCACTGCCGTTCACTGAATATACAGGAGCTTTTGACAAAACAGAAGTTTACAATGTGGCAGTGTCATTTTGGCTTTGTTGGACGGTTTATGGAATAAAAAATAGAATGGGAATGGGACAACAACGGGCACCTGAAAATTCTCTAAGAAAGCTGTTCTCAGGACCTCCGGACGTGGTTCATCTTCGGATAGCTAGACCATTAGGTTTAAAATCTTCCATAGTGAATAATGCAACAACACCCGTAAAAACATCGGTAAACCTCTTTAGGCCATTGGTTAATGCAACCGTTTTCGTTATTTATTACTCTCAGAAAGGCTATCAAAGGTTATATTTTTGTACTGTCTCGATCCATTTCATAAAGAACGTCACGTTGGCGAACACCGGTGGAAATCCTGGCCGGGCGCACCCAACAGCCCCATTTACCACTCCCGTCAAGTAATACCTTCCATCTTTTTGGCATGCTAATGGACCGCCGCTATCTCCTTGACATGAAGCTGTTTTACCTTCTTCATAACCAGCGCAGAACTGCTGATTTAAAGCCTGGGCACCATACAAGCTCGAACAGGTATTATCGTCCACAATAGGTAGGTTGGTTTTCTTTAGCGTCCTAGAACCTGTTCCGCCCTCTATGATGTTCCCAAATCCAGTCACAGTACAATTAGTACCAGTTTTGAAGCTGATGCCTCCCTTTGGCAGACAAATTGGCTTTACGTTATCGCTGAAGGAAACTTCTCTTTGCAGCCTCACCAGAGCAATGTCGTTCATTGAAGGCTTGGCCACGTACTGAGGATGCGGAAAAAACTGAAATGTGTAAAACAAAAAAAAGTGCTGTGGTATGTCGCTAATTGCCCCAATTAAACTTTGAAACCTCCTAAATATGATAGTTATATAATGATTAACAACTTATAGTGTAATGATGAGGACCAATAGCTTCCTGTCATAAGCAATTTTCATTTTCCGAATGATAATAAAAAAAACAACACTCAATAATAATTATTATAATAACAATGTCGACAATAACAATGATGATCGTGATAGTTAAGTTTATGGAAGAAAATATATTTGTAGAGGAAAAATTCGCCAGGACTACGGGTCAGGAAAAGAAGATCCTTCGAGCTATCAGAATGGACCTTAGCCAAACCCAGGGCATGAAACTAATTACTCTAAAATCAAATTGAACCATCCCAGGCCCAATTTTGATTTCTACTTATTGGTGAATAAAAAATGGAACTCTTAAATAATAAAATTGTGTATGTTTTACTGTAATTCTTACTCCTTTTATTTCAACGACGACTTCGTTTCCTTCCTTGTTACGGGCATCAAACTCTCCGAGCATAACAAAAGGGATGACTTGTTCTGGTATGTTGTCAAAGCAATGAGCAGCAGTCACCACCCATTTCTTATTGATCAGAGATCCACCGCAAAAGATTCCGCTCGTCAAGTTCCCTTTTCTTAATCTGAAGCTTACTTGCCAGGGAAACTCTTCTGGTCTGGCTACTGACCCGCCAACAATACGCGGCTTTTTTCCAATCCCACAGCTGACGTTTCCTTCATTTCCTCCATGTGTTATTCCTCCTCCCGCTGCCCTGATAGTTTCTTCTTCGTCTAATGCTCCTCCTGTTCCTGTCTTTCCCCCTGTCATGGTAAAATGGGTCTCATTGAAAACGACGAGAGCTGTCTAATAACAACTTAGCAATAAAGAATCATGTTTCTCGAAGACGGTTTAGGTTAATCTGGGATTAGCCATAAACGCCCGAGTGGAAAAACATTGTACGACAACCAGCATTGTAAATGAGTCGCAAGGTGATATCGGAAGTATCCAAACGTAGAAATACCAGTACTGTTGGCACAATCAGTTTGTGTCGCAATTTGCTCCGGCTAAACTGGCTTCACGACTCTTTGCATATCTAAGATAGGAGGCTTATTGCTCATCCTCCCCTTTACAATTTTAGGCAGAGATGAATTGTGGCGGCTGTTTTCGAGGGAGTGGATGACAGCCCTGAGCTGTCGATGGTCAAACAGCAATTTTATTGCAATGAATCGTAGCAGGAGCCCATATAACCATGGACTATCAGAGGTATAAATATCATATAAGCCTTTTTCAGAGACTATGACGGAGGAGTGAGCAATGGAAACAAATCAAGACTAAAGTCCTACAATGTAAATCAGAAAGATCTGTTTAGGCCCCAAAAATGGGGCCGTTTCGCCGAGTAAAATACAGAGCCAGTACAGTCCAATTAAATAGGGTTGATTTGGTATGAGAGTATATCTATGACAAAATTCAATAACCTAAGAGTGAAAAGGGTTAAGTCAAATCTGAAATATACCGAGTCAATGTTGGCAAAAAAGACCACGCTAAAAGGAAGAAATACTAAGAAAGCCACTATCATGTAGGTATCACGCAGAAAAAGGCATCACGCTAAAAGGCAACACGCAGAGTCATAACGCAAAGAGGCAACAAGCAAAAAGGCATCACGTAAAGAGCCAGCGCGCAAAAAGGCATAACACAAAGAGGCATTACGCAAGGAGCCAACACGCAAAAAGGCATCACGCAAAGAGGCATAACGCAATGATCAATCTAAGGACGATCCCACCATATGAGAGATTGACGGCAATTTTCCACTGCTGTTAATGCTGCACGAAGAACCGCTAAAACCTGTCCGCCATCTTGGCAAAGATGTGCCGATCTCAAAAGTAAATCAATTAAGTTTTCCTGCCGGAAAGAAATACAATCGCTGTCAATTCCGTTTTGGACTTGTTGTAATATATCAATCAGGCCACGCCTAAGGTACCGAATAAGCACTTCATGAGGTGAGCAAGATGGAATGTCTCGTTCGAATATCATTTCGGTTTGCTTGCAGTATGTACTATATAATACTGTTTAAGATCCAGACCTGGATCCTAAGTAAAGTTCTTATGACGTTTTGCCCTTTTGCCAAGTGCCTTTTTTGCGATGCCTTTTTGCGTGTTGCCTTTTTGCGCTATGCCTCTTTGCGTACTGCCTCTTTGCGCTATGCCTTTTTGCGTGTTGGCTCTTTGCGTGATACCTTTTTGCGTGTTGGCTCTTTGCGTGATGCCTTTTTACGTGTTGCCTCTTTGCGTTATGCCTCTTTGCGTGTTGCCTTTTAACGTGATGCCATTTTTTGCGTGATACCTATATGATAGTGGCTTTTTCAGTACTTCTTCTTTTTAGTGTAGTCTTTTTGTTTACCAAATTTGAGTCGGTATATTTCAGATTTGACTTAACCCTTTTCACTCTTATGTTATTGAATTTTGTCATTGATATACTCTCATAGATTTGGATACAAGAGTTCAAATGAGTCCCAGCGTGTGCTGGAATAGGCTTTGGATGGGGGTGTTTTGGCTTAAAATGTGCTCGAAAGGCTCCAAGAGAGACTGAATAAGACAGGGCTGAACTGGCACTTTGGGGCTGAGACAGATCTTTTCAATTTTCGGTGTAATTTTTTACTTCCGAGACCCGAGGGTCATTACCGTAACATTGGTAACTTCAAAGGACGTAATTTAGAATTAAATACCAAATTAACATATACACATGTGCCGTGAGAAAAATATGAAAAGATGAACAAGAAAGTCATTTTCAATTGGTAAACGAAAAAGGCGATGATGTAAGGCTTTCGAAGATTTCAGTAATTTCGAAAGTTGAAGATTTTAACACCTAAGGGAACCAGGGTGAAAGGTACGGATGGCATGTACCTGTTATAGGAGGGATGTTTTCTCTGAAATCGGCCGGACTTCCACCTGCACCTCGTGGACTGTAACGAGCGCAAATTACATCACCGTGTAGCGTAGAGCGAGCAGAACCAACTCCGATCAGAAATGAATTGTTCCACACGGCCTTTGAAAGATAAACACAACGGAAGTTAATCTCTCAAGAATTCCTAACACATACGACCCAGTTGAACCTTATAAGGAGAAGAAAAGGAAGATTATGATTTTGCTAAACTAATTGACGCAGATGGAGTAGTAATTGGCCCAAACATTTTCCCCGCGGTCTGGCTACAGGAATGACTGAATTGACTGATTGAGTTCAACCTCAATCCGCGGAAAAGATACCTTTTTGGCAATGGTCTCAGTATCCATAGCTATGGTTATGTTACACTGATCATGAAATATCCAACAAAGTATTTTTCATGCGGAAGCTAAGAAACTTGTTTTCGTTTAGAAACATGTATATGGTAAAATTGCACTGCGTAACCCACGAATAATGATACAGATACAGATGTTATTTTTGAAGATATCTCTATGTATGCCGCACAAAAAACGGTGTCCTTATTTCTTGCAGGCATCATATCTTCTCCGTAAATCTCTAACGAGGGGATCTGTGTCGACGTCAAATCTCAAGTCTCCCCACCCCTTGTTATGACACAAGTTGAAAAGAAAAAAACATCGTGCACTCCCTTGCCCATCTCTCTCTTCTCTCTCTATTCTGTGCTTTTCCTCCCAATGGTTCACTGAGAAAGACAACTTCTGATGAATTAATTTCTTTAGTTTCTTTAGTTTACCTGTGCAAAGTGTTTGATCGGCAGGCCAGGTGCCTTAGGCATTCCCGTCTGGTAGTTGTAATTCCGTTCTTCCTTGTACCATTCATCAACTACCTTCTTGCAAAGACTTAAGGGAGGGCTTCCTCTTTGTTCATCATTAAAATATACGGCTGCGATGTTTTCTCCCTGGTTTTTCATGTTAATGGCCTGGCTATCGTGTTCCAGTTTGTCGTTTAAAGCGAGATTTGCACACCACTTTTGAGCCTCCGCTGCAAGGTCCTCTGACCAGACAAGTGGCTGGGAACCATGTAGCCTTCTTAGCTTATTGTGAGCCATGACACAAGATTTCCCAAACTCGTCGTACGCGCTTGTCTCTTAACAAATAAGAAATCACATTTAGAACATGAATAAAAACCGTGTGTTAATGAGGTTTTTTTTTAATTCTTCAGAGACATAAGCTTCAGAAAACTCGCTGAAGAATCCTCCAGAAATGGTTTGACATGGCGCCTTTCGCCTTTCGTCTGCGAACTAGTTCGCTCATGCATAATCAGCTAGGCTGGCGCGCAGCCGCTTGGAAACGAGGTTGCTTTTCAATACATGTATTTATACCATCGCATCGATTGTATTTTGCCAGCATCTTCCAAATACTGTAAGTCCCTGGCTTATTATGAAGAATTAGCCATAGGATTATTGGAGACAATCAGAAACGAATAAAAAATACTGTCGAATGAACAACATATGTAATATTCTACTGGTCGTCGCTTCTCTCCATCCTGGTGGAGAGAAGCGACAACCTGAAAAGTGTGTACGTTCCCTGGCTACTGGACCAAGGGGAAACGGGTAAATTTAGGCACTATTCCTTTTCTAAGAAGAGAGAGGTACTAACACTCTTTTATAGTCAACTTAAAACTTAGCATAAGTATTTATTATTCTTCCAGCGCAGAAATAAATTTTGGACGGATTAAATCCGCCCATTACTTGTCCTCATTCAATACGTTATAAAGACCATCAAATGCTGACAGTAAAATCCGTGGAATGTGGGTTCTGGACCATAATTCATCTAATGTCTAACGATCTTACCTCTAGACAATCTATCCCTATCAGACGAGAAATTCGTCATAGACGACCTCTAGTATAAATTCAGTAATTCGACCGTTGAATGTCACTGATTGCGATAAGTCTCACCTGAAATATGGAAAAAAGTAATTATGATGAAAAAACAGAGCGGAAGTGGATTCATTCCTTGTGATGTTTCTTTTGATTTGCAGTAGCTTGCTGATACTCCTGGCGTTTTCCTTGTCTTTAGGAAGTCTTTAACAGGCCTTGATTTTAGTGTCTCCGGGTGAAAGTAGAAGATCTTATAAGGTTGTCATATTTCTTAGTTACGATTCAATCATAAAGGGAATGAAAGGGCTGCCATGTTTAGCTATGATCCAATCATGATTTTAGCTTTCTCCAGCTGTTAAGAGGTAGAGAATGACATTTGATTAGCCATCCAAAAAAATCATTCCGCCCCTTTTTTATAATTCACGACTTTAAGTGAAACAATATCACAGACTGAGCCTCCAAACTGCTATTATCATGGAGTAAAAGGGAACTAAGAGGAGGAATTTATACAGAAAAAAGTATTTGCTTTTTAAATTTAGCCACCTTCTTCGGCTGCTTATCTTTGTTTTGTAAATTCAACAGATTTGATTAAAAACAAGCAAACAGTCTAGTTATGGGCGTTCTGACCACATGCAAAGATATCGTAAGTTTAATTGATTTCGTCTTTCCATCGCAGAGTAGAATTATTATTGAGTACTGAGAATTAACAATAGGTAATATGCCAGTATACTGTTTTGCGTATTTAGTTTTATACTTCCAGAGTTTATTAGCGTGGAAACACTACTTCCTATCAAGTCCAATGAAGATGGTTCGCCAAAAAAGTCAATATGTTATAGCCCATGAAAATTTCATTAAGGTACCATAAAAAGTGTTTTCACAAGCGATATTTTTGAAAAATCTTTCAAAAATATTCTACTGTAAGAATTGACATTGTTATTGTTTCCCTGAACTAAAAGTAAAGTTATCTCTGGTTTGGTGCTTCATTAACTTTCCAATCATTACCTTGTTCTGCAAAGGAACAACCAATATCAAGATTACATGAAATAAGAACTGGTTTGATAAGTAAGCATTTTTTTGGATTTGTAGAATCTACATATTGCAACATTTTTTTTTTCATTATATTTGTTATCGAAATTGTTATATTATGGATACAATTTTGAAAGATTACCAAAATACCTATCAGGTTATAGGATGTTGTATACTACTATGCCTGTTTGTTCACGACGATACCTAAGCCGCCATCTTAAAGTTTAGCGAGAAAGGGGAACGAGTGGAACTTTTGACACACGGAACACGTTCCTCACATGGAACTTCCCCAAACAATTTCCAAACGTTTCTGGTGAATATAAAACGCCCATCATCACCCTGGGTTAGCGCTTAACGGATCACGAACAACTGGACCTCGATAAACAAGGAAACTTTATGTTTCAATAGATGTAGAAGAGTAGACGGGCTATTGATCTCTCGTCTTTGATTAGTTTTACTATGTTAAAACTGAAGACTGTTGTAACAATTTGAAAGTATTTTATTTTCAATATATTAAAGCGTTTATTAATAATTCTGTAGAGAGGTTACGATCAAATATGTGCTAAGGGAGATTTAAAAATTCGTTTAACTGACATGACTGACGGCTGTGATGCACCTATGGTAATAAGAACTGCTAATGTGACCTTTAAACAACCAATCAAAGGAAGATCTCAAGATTTTTCTATTCACAAATATTTTCAATTCTTAACTAGTTATCACAGACGGATGTACAAGAATATTCTGACGAACTCTACCAGAGGCACGTTGGATTTTCAGACATTTTTTAAAATGGCATTTAGGCTTAGCAGGATCTCCTTGTGTCAAGCAGCGGTATTTTTAAGGCAATTGATTGATTAACAAGGTAAAAATATTGTTAGTAATGAAAACTAGACGAGCGTTAGTGGGAAAAAAAATTGTCTTACATGTGGTTGCAACACCCATAACTTAGCCTGAACACAGACGTTAATATTTTTCTTTGCGATAAACGGCGAGCGCGAAGAACACCCCCGCTCACGGTCAGACAATAAATCACCCACGGTTTTACTTTCCATCACGCGCGCACGACGGACGTAAAAGAGGAAATAGAGGGTCTGTGAACAGGTTACCCATAACTCGACTGAGCTTGTTTCTTGCAGGTTATACAAGGAAAGCCGGAAAACACCAGCATTGTCAATTGTGACTATTATTACTATCCACTTTTGAGGGGATAAACAAACATGTGTATCCTTCAGTTTGGTGAATAAGATCGGCTCTTGTACATTTTAGTCTTTATTCCCGGGTTAAAGTACATTACACTGACTACAACAATTTGCCTCAATTTCAGTCATGCATTATTAACGAGAGGCGTTGCGTGTTTTGCACGGATGACCAGCCATATTTCATTTGTTCTTTTGTAACCGCAGTAAATCACCATGAAGTCATAGCTGGAGACCAAAAGACATTCAACCTTAAACATTAACTGACAGCTGCCCTAGTGGCCAAGTTGAAAGATAATCGGGTTACTTGCAATGAAGCCAATTTCGTTTCATGCTTTTCTTATAATGTCCTTTTTGTACCTTTTCGGTAAGTCACTGCCCCTGCCGATGTTTCTTGAGTTACATATAATTTGTACAATATGACTATTTGTAGTTCAAATATTTTCATATGGAGCTGAGCTGTCTTATTGTTATTTTTTTTTTTATTATTTCGGTTGCTAGCAAATGGACCCATTTGCAGAGAGAGTCCTCAGTTGAGAGTCTCTTACGAACCCGTTATCATGGATACACTTGCACGCGTTTTTTTAGAACATACTTGGCCTTCTCTTAACGTTCTCCACACACTTAACTTTGCCATAGCTTAACGTTTTATTTATTAGTGACCCATACTGTTTTGTGCAAGTTGACTATAAAAAAAAGGGAAGAAAGTGACCTAATTTGGACGACTTTTAAGCTACGCCTTCCTTAAATTAAAATAAATGGAGAAAACGATGACGAAAAAGAAGCCACCATTGACAACTTGAATCATTGCCGATGACATGAAGTGTTCCCAAACAGGATGCGGAATTTAAAAGTTAAGAGGGCAGCCAGAAAGGTGCTGAATTATTGAGACCGTTAATTGTTTTCTTGTTGTTGTTTTTTTGTAACCACTGATGGTAAGACTGCTTGTTCACAAGAACAGGGCATGTTACCATACAGGGCACGGTAACACCCGTCTACTCTTCAGCTTTTTAAGTTCTCTTCAGTTTTCACCGAACATTTCCTTGCCGGCGGTTAAACGCTAATGTAAACCCAAGCAACCAATTCACCGTAAATATTCCAGTGTTAATACAGTTTTGTGTTTAGGGATAAATGCATACGACGAGTTTGGTAAAGCCTGTGTGCTTGCTCATAATAAACTAAGAGGGCTTCATGGTTCACAGTCACTTATCTGGTCAGAGGAGCTAGCTGACGAGGCTCAAAAGTGGTGCGAAAAACTCGCTTTAAATGACCAACTTGGACACGATAACAAAACAATGGACGAAGAAAATCACGGAGAAAATATCGCTGCTGTGAATGGAAGTAATCTTCAAAATGCAGGTCCTACCCCAGATCTTTGCAAGAAGGTTGTTGATGAATGGTATAAAGAAGAACAGAGTTACAACTACCAGACAGGAATGCCTAAGGCCCCTGGGATGCTAATTAAAAACTTTGCACAGGTAACTATAAAAAGAAAACGAAAGTAACAAAAATCTATTCTTTAACTAGGTTTTAAAATAGAGTACAGTTTCCGTGACGCGCATCAATACTGCTTTTCACTCAACCAGTGAATGAATTGTGTAAATTGGCCTAGACGACTATCAGCCACACAGTATCAGGGACACTAACTTGGTTGAGAAACGATAGCTTATTGCAGGTGTTTCCGGTCCTCTCTTGATGTCAAAACAATGTTACAGCTATTTCGATCCTTACTGTCTTTAGTGACCAGGTATATGCTCACTGGTCATATGCTTAGAGTTGTAGCTAGTTCAGTGTTACAAAACATTATTTACCAAGGTAGTTAATCCAATATTGTCAGCATAACTATTATCCTGTGTAAATAGTTCTTTATTTGAGAGTTTTTGTGATATTGTCATATTTAATTTGTAGATTGTAGTTTCATTTGTTCGAGTTCTCTCACAAACTAATGCGTATTAGTAAAATCCAACTACTGGTCTATTATCAACGCTGCGTTCTGATTAGTTGAAC